ATAACATATTCCTGCTTATAATTGCTTCGTTTATTAATACCGTCCTTCGTACGAGTCGGCGAAGCAGTCCTTTAAGCCGTCGAGGTCGATCCCTGAATGCATCATCCACGAACTACAGATCGATATAGGTATTACGGTTGCTCTAGCTCGTCATTATGCATCATTTACTTGACTCGCACGACTTATCACAAAGCCAACGTTATATCGGAGATCTCGCATTTGCTCGACGAATCGTCGCTTTTTTCTATTCCAACTCAAAAAACGTTCTTCCGTTTTCGAAATTTATCATCCATTTAGCAACATCATCAGCGAACATTCGACCGGAAGCTACGCGTTGTGCAACATAAACAATTAATGTACTTTTTACCTCCTCTCTCCCCTCTCTCTCTCTCTCTCTCTCTCTCTCTCTCTCTCTCTTTTGCCTCCTCCTCTTCTTCTCTCGCTTCGTTTTCTTCCTTCTCTCTCTCTCTCGTTCTCTCTGCCTGCCTCCGTTTCCTTCTTCTGCTTTATCACAATGAGCGGCTGCGTGTGCGTGTCGGTGTCGTTAGGCAGTAGCTGCCGGTGCAGGCGTGGTTGGTTCCTTGCCCTCTGTCGCGTATTTATATCTAGCGAGTAGAGCGAATGCATTGCGGCTCGCTTCTTGTTTGCCGGGACCACTCCTCTCTTTCTCTCTCTTGCACTCGTTCTCGCTCCCTTTCTCTCTCTCTCTCTCTCTCCCCCCTCGTATCGCGGCCCCGCGCCAAACCTGCTCCGTGCAACGCCTAGCGCCGGCTAATCACCGGGATACGGCGGATTTTTCTCGCCGATCTACTACCGCGCGGACTTGCTCTGATGATTTCTGGTTCCAACGTGGTGTGCGAAATCTTCCGGAAAACGTCGGTTTACAACTCGTTGCTGAGCGAGCATATATGAGCATACATGCTCTCGGCAGTGCCGCTTCACGAGAGCACTCTAAGATGAAGGAGCAACGTAACGCCGACTTGCCAGAGAGATCATTTGCTTCCGCGAGAAATTAGATCGAACGGGTAAACGAAACGAGAACGCACAGGATGGGGCAAAATAATGGTCGGTAGATTGCGGTTTGGTCCGGCGCAATATCCTTCTCCACGCGCATCGCCACGTCGTGCGCGCTTCTTTTTTTCTTGCCTCACCCTCCGCCCTGACTCCCCGCCGTCCCGCGCTCTTGGGCCCCTATC